TTGCTTACATCTTAGAGAAATTCAAACTTCAGTTTTAGTTCTCTTGGTGGTGCTCAAAGTTAAATTAGATTTTGTTAATGTTCACTGTGTTTTCAGTTCTAGTGTTCTACCATTCAGGTTCAAGGCAGGCTTGTACAAATTCAAAGCTGTTTCTAGTGTGTTCGGCAAGTCAAGGCAGTTGGTTCTGTTGTTTTGCTGTTCGTCCAGATTCAAAGCAGTGTTGGGTGTGTCCGGCTAGTTCATCCTGGTTTCAGCCATTGATTCATCCTCATTGTGCTCACAGAATTTGTATAAATGCATGGTAAAGTGTTTTATAAATCGGGTATTAAATTCAAATCTGGATGTTTGAATTTTGAATTATAGCACTAGTTTGGAAACTGCAGTTCGTCCCAGGTTTTCAGACATTTGACTACTTCCATTCTGGGAAAAAGTTCAGAAGTGCTTCCTCTTTTCTGTAGACATATTTTGTATCTATACTTTGGCTTCTTTTTCCCTTTCGGGCAGTCTAACTGCTTTCTAGCTGGTCTCTTCATTCCAGCAACTATGGGTAAGAAGAAAACAAGCCAAACTAAACCCAGGGCACATCTCCCAGTGGTAAAAGGGGAGGGTGGAGAAATCCAGCTTTGATTGAGGCTGCTGCGTCAAGGGTTCGAATCGTGAAATATGGATTTGACTCTTGGGTAAGTGCAAGTGTACAAGCAGCCTTTCACCCTGTACCCTTGAAAGCATAACCTGCGATTTACCTCCCTCACGATGCTCTAGGGCAGGGGTGTTGGGGGATCCTTAAGGTTAGGGTTTAACCTTTTTTTTTAAAACAAGCCAAACTAGCGTGCTAAACAGGGGCGGAGCCAGGAATTCATGGTACGGGGGGCAAAAATTTTTAAAAATTTAATGTACGAACTACAAATAAAATTTATATATAATAAGAAAAATTCATAATATAAGTTACCTATCGTAATTGTACCCGACGATGTTTTAAAGCATAAAATTCATCTACAATAGAATCTAGATCTAAATTCATACTAAATTCTCGCTTAATATTTAGTGTTAAACAATCAGCAAGAAAGCCATCATCCATTTTGTTATGAATTTCCGTCTTCACATGTTTCATTGCTGAAAATGCTCGCTCCACAGTCGCCGTTGAAACAGGTAGTGTGAGTACTAAACAAATCAATTTAGCCAAAACAACGTAACTCTCCGACCTTCTACTTGCAACCAATTCTCGACATAAATCAGAAAGTGTAGGTACTTGAAATCGAGGTTCGAAAATCACATCATTCTGATAATGTTGCAACTCAACTTTCAAACAATAAATATCTTGCTGTGAAAAATTTTCAGGATAAAACTTCTCTGCAAGCTTGCAAATATTATCAATGTTAAATGATTCAAAAGAATCTTTTGGATCCAAAGCTGCACTGAGAGAAAGGAGTTCTAATGATGTCTCATTAAATCTTGTATCTAACTCCATCATTAGAAAATCAATGGCTGCATTGAAAATATCAAAGTGATAGTGATGTTCAACGGTAGGATACTCACGACCACGAGAACGACCAACCATATACGAAGCATCAAAGTCAAGTACATGTATATCATTTTTTGAGCAAAAACATTTCACCTCTTCAAGAAATTCTTCCCAGCCATCTTCTCTCAATGTTTGAAGGATAGTTTTTGTAGTACGGAAAAATCTCATAGCAGTCAAGATATCTTGAGTTTGCTTCTGAAGGGTCTGACAAAGCACATCCGCAATTGCTAATATTTTACGCATTAAATGTAAAATAAATACAAATTCAAATGTTGTCATGGTTTTGTACACACCACCAACTTCGGACCGAGATCTTACATTTGGAGAATGATCACTAAGATACTCAAGCACCTTGCAAGTTGCAGCATACATATCAATCAAACTCTTTACAGAGCTGTAATGAGAAGACCAACGAGTACCTCCGGCTCGTTGCAAATTACCAATTTGATTAGCACCACTTCCGGACTCTCGTTCTCCAATTTCCAACAAATGCTCAATTTCTTTTCTTTGGTCACTTTTCAACTCATTGATGCGCTTAGGAGATGATGTAATCATATTAATAACACTATCCAAATGAGAAAAAAATGAATTAATATCTGAGACATCCCTAGCTGCAGAAATCAATGTGAGTTGTAAACGGTGGGCAAAACAATGGACATAGTATGCATATGGACAATCTTTAAGAAATAATGCCTGTAGTCCATTCCAAGAACCACGCATATTATTAGCACCATCGTACCCTTGGCCTCTCATATTTTGCACTTGAAGGTCGAAACGGACAAGAACATCAGAAATTTGATTCTTAAGATTTAATGAGGTAGTGTCACTAACACTTTTAATTGCAAAAAAACGCTTTGTCAAAATTCCATTACTCCTGACGAACCTCAGGATAATGGCCATTTGTTCTTGTGAAGATTCATCTCGTGCTTCATCAACAAGAATACTAAATTTTGCACCCCCAATTTCGCCACGAATTCTTTGTCGAACTTTGTTGGCCATAATGTTCAAAATTTCTTTTTGAATGTCTGGAGATGTGTATGTAGCATTTTTGGGAGCATTACCGAATACAACTTTTCCTACTTCAATATTCATTTTTCCAAATGCATCCACCAGTTCAATGAAATTTCCACGATTCAGTGAAGATGGAGATTCATCATGGCCTCTAAAGGAACAACTCTGAAGTGCTAACTACTTAACACTCATAATAGTGGTCTTTAGACGCAAACGATTTTTCTGAATTTCCTCATTTGATAAAGAATGCATTACCTTGTCAATATGTTGAGTTGGTTTCATTAGATCTTCAGCACTTTTCTTACAGCCATTATGAAACGACGAAGATGTTGTACCAACATGAATAAGAAATGCACATTTACTTCCTTGGTTAACCCTCTTCCAACTATCAAAACCAATAGTAACCAACGATGAAATATTATTTGGAGTACTCTCATTGAGAAAGAGGAAACAATAAAAACAATATGCCTTATGTGTTGAAGGCGAATATTCCAACCAAGGAAACTGATTGTACCAACGTTCCTGAAATCGACGTTTCTGCTTTCCACATTCTTTGCTCTGATACTCCAAAAGTTTTGGTTGATAAGGTCCAACATTTAGATAAGCTCGCCTAATCTGATCGCGTTCGTTACGTGGATGTTCACATATTTGTTTTCTTTTTCCAGGGTCCCGTTCAATAAAATCAGATGGTTCTACATTAAGATTGGAAGATGAAGGCCGTACAACTTCTGGGGATAAAATTGGAGGAATGGGCGCCGTAGGAATTGGAGAATCTTGAGATTTATTACTTTTTGAAAAAAAAGACAACAAGGTTCTTCCTTTCTTGTTAGAAGGTCGATCTTCTTTCATATTAAATCTAAAAGCATAAAAAACAAGATACTTCAATATCACATAAAGGCATAAACTTAAATTGATAAAACCACAACCATATAAAACCAATTTACTATTTGCTATAACCTATGAAATGAGATTTTTCATCCAAAGTCAGAGATTGAGAAATGAGAACCAACCTTCAAAAAATCAAAAGCATCACCTACAATTAAACAAAAAAATCCAAAAAAAGCTATGAAAATAGTATCATAATGCCTATTAAAAAGCTTCAGTGCTTCACCCAGTATTATACAAAAATAAACAATAGTTTTACTTTTAAGAATGTCATATAAATCAAAAATAAGTAATTTTTCTTAAAGCAAGCATCAGCAATCAGCATGAAAATTGGCTAAATATTAGAGACTAAACAAACGTATTCGGTAATTTCCAATTTCATCCAATCTGGACCAATCAGTTTCCACTTTCCACAGAAATCCAAGATTCTGATTTCCGTTCCAAATGTCAATTTTAATCACCACAAGACTCCACAACAGATCACCCTATGCATCAGTGAAAATTTGAGGGAAATTTATCAAACACATTAAAGGCATCCTATTTCATCCAAATTTTGAAAGAATTGGGTTCTAATTCAAAACCAAAATTCTCTCATTTCAAACTCACTGCTCACAATCAAAATCCATCAAGTAACAAAACCCATTCTCATCAATTGTTCAAATTTTTCCAATTACAACAAAATGACAAATTATCTCTTTCATAGAAAGGAGGTCATAGAGAAATAGATTATCTATTTCATTAGTGTGAACTGCGAAATGCAAATAAATAAATAATTAATGATTAACTAACCATAATGAAGATTAAAAATGAAGATTCAATATTAGAATGGAACCTCCAAACCTCGACTTAGTCGGCTGAAGCAAGAATGTGGGAACTGCCGAACTGGGAAGATGGGATGCGGTTGCGGCCTGCGGGGTCAAGCCAGCGAGTCGACGGCACAGTGGCACTCGACGAGATGGCGGCTACGGGCAGGGCCAGAAAAAGGGAAGAGATGTAGGGTTTTTGATTTTTGGGAATGATTTCATTTTCAATTGATTTTGCAAAACTTATAGTTCACATGGTAAGGAATGGAAAGAAATGAGATAAATGAATTTTATCAATTGATACATTTAAGTGGGTTTGGGTTAAATTAGTGGGCTAAAGATTAAAACACAAAATTTTTTTTAGGTGGACTAGCCCACTGAATTAAATTGTTGGTGGGCTAATGTGGTTACATATGGGCTATTGGACTACAATTCACACAAAAAAATTTTTTTTTAACTATCTGGGCCTGGTCAACAGTGGGTTGCAGCCAAGTGCAGCCCACCTCTAAATCCGCCCATGGTGCTAAAGTTGAATCCTGTTGTCCTAGGTATGAAAAAAGGATGCAATCCAACCTACAACATTCTGGGAAGAACTCTGTGCAGATTCACCAAGTGCTTCTCAAACACTTGGCGCTGAAGACATGGTCTCGAAAGATTTAGATGGGGAACCCCAAACACCCAAAGATAGCCAAGTAAAAGAGACAGTCCCGTGAAAGCTCCTTGGGTAAATCTCTTTAAAGATAATAGGAAACTTGATGAAGGCACGAAACTCCAAACTATCGATGATCTCTCCGAAATTGTGGCTTTGGAGGAGGAGGATGATGTGCATGAAGTCGAAGATTCCTGGGGGTTTAGTTTGGTTGGCTATGTTGTTGGTCGTTTTTCGAGCAAAAAGTACTATTGCAGCTATGCAATTTGTGGAAGGTAAATTACAAATACTCTGTCCATACAAGTGGCTTGTTAATTTTCAAGTTCGAGAATATGGAAGATAGACTTAATGTGCTCGAGGGGGGGGCATACTTCATCTTTGGCAGGTCGCTTATGTTGAAGATTATGCCCCGATTTTTTGAGTTTGATGACAAAGAAATTA